CCAAAAATGAATAAAATTGCGTGATCCCACTCAACATCACTTCTCAGAAGTCCAGGCGAAGGGTCAACATCAGCAGCGGAAAGGGAGGAGGATATGCGTTACTGGATATACGTAGGAGTGGTTTGAGGCCGAAACAGAGCTTAGGAAGCTTTGATGCAATATCGACGGCAGAAAAACATAATTAAAGGCAGATAGGAAAGATCTAGAAAAACCATCACATCGACACAAAGGATCGCATGAAACGAAATTAATGCTGGACAGATGCAGTAGTACCTCGAGCTGGAGTGATACTTCTTCCTGATCCTTAGTATTTGTTTGAAATATATAGTTTTTCAGCAGTTGGTACTGCATCCGACCCGAATCGAGTTGGAACTAGCTTCATGCCCAGGGAAATATTGATTTCGTCCGATTAGATACTTTTTGTCGGCGCGATTCTTCTTCCAGATCTGTGGGATCTTGCCTGGAATTACGTTTTTCATCAATTGATTCTGCGTCTGATCTGAACAAATTAGGTTGCACTTTTATAATTTGAATAGCAAGACTTTTATTCGACGTGATATTTTGTATAGTTGGGGTCTTTTTTTTCCAGATCTGTCGTATCTGCTGGGAATTACGTTTTTAACGAGCTGCATTATCTCGGTTACATCTTCAAAACTTTGAAAGCGAGAATTTCGTTCAATGCTATACTTATTGTCATTGTTATGCATTATCCAAGATCTGTCGAAATTGCCTCTAATTACGTTATTCTGCTGATCATACTCAGGTGCACAAGCTTTGTCCCATCTTCATACCTATAAAAGGGAGGGTTTCGTTCAATGCGGTAATTTTTGTTTGCGTCAATATTTTCCCAAACCTGTGGAATCAGCCTGTAATTTCGTTTTTCCGTCGCTAAAACTGCATCTGTGCTGCATTAGCTCGATTACAGCCTCATATGAAGAAAAATAAACATTTAGATCCATGTGATTGCATGACCTGTCGCATTGCTTCTTCCAGATCTTTCGAATCTGCCTGGAATAGCGTTTTCTTTGCCGTTGCTACGGCACCTGTGCTGAATAAACTAGGTTCCACATTCATACAAAAAAAACGAGAATTCCGGAGGATGTCATACTTTTTGTTGGTATGAAGTTATTTTCTATATCTGTCAAACCTACCGGGAGTTAGGTTTTTCAATATTCAAGTGCAGCCAGGAAATGCTGGCATCAACACAATATTGCCAGCATCTCAGTTGACAACCGACACTGTTCAGGCCAACATAACAGACAGAGTGGGTCTGATCAGATCAATTGCTAAAAAATTAGGCATAGGCTTGGAAACGTCCCATGTGAAAATGATCGAAGATGTGGTTGCTGCTCTCCCCATGACTGCCAAGGCCTTAGCAGTGCATATTCAAGGCCATCTTGAGTCATTGAAGCAACCCATCTCATGGAATTGGCTACGCATTCGGAAGTATGCCGCAAAGCCAAAGTTAACCCAGCTGAAATGCATATCCAAGCGAGAAAATGTGATTGCGTTGATCAATCGCACCACCTTTGGCATGATGGATTTTTGTAAAGTGCGTTCAGCATTGGAGAAATGCCATAAACTTCTGGTTAAAACAAAAGGTGCAGCTCCAGATGATGTACGGGTGAATGTTGCCGTGCTTCAAGGACTCATCTTCAGTAATTTTGCCTCTGATTTCATCCCTCGTCGGCTCCGCAAGATGGATCCATCTTTGCAGCTGCTGCCATGCTGCAATCCTTGTGAGGAATTTTATATTCAGAATCAAACAAACTTCAGCGACAACTTTTTCAGGAAGTACCGTCAAAATATGACCAAGGCCAAGATTCATGGGTCCAAAGTCATGGCTGCACTCGATGCCGATCGGGATCCATTCAAAGTGGAATACGTGAGCCGCATGGAGGAGATTCGAGACCGCATGATCTCTCTTGGACTTCACCTCCAATCCCAATTCATCCCCTACACTGACTGGGAAAGTGACATGAAGTTGGTCAATTGGGTCACTCTCGGGCTCTTGGACATGGATGGAGATGTGTTTGTTCTCAAACGTTCGCTTCGTTCAAAGGCGAAGAAGAAGAAGAAGAACAGCTGCAACCAGAGGGTAATCAGAACCATGGGTATCGTCCTAGGACGCATCTCAAATCATGAATACACTATTGAAGCGTATAATAGAGTCTGTGCATACCTCTGTGAGGTGGCTGAAGCCCAGAATGTGAACTCCATCCAGTGTCAAGTGCCTCAAAGTAAACCAGATACATCCAGGATGCATGCCAAGTCATTGACCCAAAAAGGCGCAGCGGCAGAGGGCAA